TTTTTTTTTTTGACGACGATTTATGCGTAGCATAAGGCGGTAAGAATAATATGATATCTTGAAAAGGTATATATCTTAGACCTTTAACACAACTTAACACATCACAATTCCATATAGCTTACTTCTCAATACAAACTTTTTTTTTTCTTCTAAGTTGAAAGGATAGGTTTACATAATCCCCATCAGCGAAAGTGTGATTGACAAAATGATCTTGAAACAAACATTCGTGGATTGATTCTTGAATACTCGTTATAGTAGAATATTCGTGGAGGACATTCTTAGATTTTACACATGTGATACATATGTCTTATACTTCTTCAGGTAGAACTAAAGCTCTTCGCATTACAATGTTTATTGTGAGTTAGCTCTTTAATAAGAGAAGAAAAAATAATTTGTCTATAATTAACTAATAAAATGTTTACTACCTATTATTGATGCACCAAAATTTTAATGTTGTAGCATCTACGTGGATATTGTTACTTCTCTTGAACCATCATAATAATATCTTACTTTATTGAATTATTTATCTCTCTTGTTTATTTTGAACCGAGTTCATCTTAACTGACCGTTCTCTATTTCTCCTTAATAAATCAAAATTTTTAGGAATGTGGGATTTAAAAAAATTGGGAGTGGTATTAAAGTTACTAAAAGGGAGATTTTTTTATAGAGTGTGGATTTTCAACTTCAGATTTAAAGTCGCCATTGAAGGTCCTTGTTGGTGTCCTTTGGTGGTTTTCGATTTGCAGGAAAGAAGAAGAATAATGGGAAGAAGAAAAGAGAAAAACGGGAAAAAGAATATGTGAGAGAAAAAAAAAATATAAGGAACTGTTAGATTTCTTAATGAGGTTTAATACATAATAAATGGAAACAAAATCAACATTTTTGACATAATTAATAAACTATATTATTAACGTAAAATATTTTTAAAATGTTACAAAGTGTCTTTTTATCCTCTAGGGCGCGTAATAAAAAATTAAACGGAAGACCAATGACCTCTTAGCCTACGGGCTAAGACTAAGAGTGAGGTGCCATTGGCCTAGGGTCAAGAGTTCGAGCCCCTTGATCGCAATGGTGGAACAACTAATATTGAAGACTATAAGCGGCAGTGTGAGAAGCTGAAACTCGATGGGACCTTGCGGCAGGACTGGCGGGGTCAACATAATGTTGGGAGGGCTGGTGTGGAACAATCACTTCGGTGGGAACTTGTGGCTGGATAGGTAGGCCAATTGGGAGCTAAGAGGGTTAATCACTTAGAGATCGACTTCTCTATGCGCAGTAATTGAAAGTATTAGGTACCAGAGATCAATTGTGTGGCTACTGCATACCACAGTTTAACTAGAGGCAATTTCGGGGGCAAAGCTGTTTCCTCAAGCACCAATTACCACTTGTCAACAAATATTGGGCCCAGTCCGTCTGTCTATGAACCACTTCAATTCAGATCATTCGCCCTTCAATTCACATCATGCGGCCCGCCTATGATTACGGGCCGATATGAGCCGCCCGGGCTTATCCCTTTCACTTTCCCTCCTGTTTATTTCTATTCCGTTCGGTGATTCTATCCGGATACCGCCGCGGCGCCGACCACCGTCAACGTGGCCGTCTTTCCTTTAGACACTAGTCCGTCCACGTGTAACCCTTTGGAGCTCCAGCACATCAATTAACCGACGTTGTTTATCAATAAATAGGGCTATTCGGTGA